TCCAGTTCTTACAATGCTGATTATTCAGATTCGTTTAACAGCAATTCTGGAAAATACGAGGGTGGTGTATATAGGGCTGATGGACACATTGGGGCTTACAATAGTGACACTACAGGTCAATATCATGGAACTTACAGTAACTCGAATACAGGAAATTATTTGAGCAACTCTAAAGCATATACTGGCGCTTCTCATACTCTAACCGCTGGCGCGGTGAATGTTGGACTGGTTGGAAAAACTACACTAGTTGACGCTGGTTACACTGACCAGTTAAATTACCAACAAGCCAATGCTGCTTCAAAATTGGTTACAGGACACGAAGTTATTCATGAAACATATCCTGGGCATATACCTTATGTATCTCAACCAGCAGTTTCCATTAACCACGTTGGAACTAACAGTCAAAATTTAAACGAATACAGTTATGTCACTACACCTACATCCTCTGGAATTCCTACAACAGCAACTCCATTTGCTGTTACAGCTTCTGTACCGGTTACAACGTATAGAACAACATATGTCCCAGAAGCACCTAAGAGTACTGTAAAGCAATTATTTGGCATTTCACAGCCAGCTATAACTTATGTACAACCAACTGCCATTGCTGTAAAACAGTATGTTACTCCTAAAGTAGAAATTACAGATTATAACCAAGGTTTGAATTACCAGTACGAAAATAATGCCTTCAGTTCTAATCAATACGATGGTTCTAGTTCCGTAAGTCAATCGTCTAGCGGCAAGTCTGTAACATCAGGATACGAATACTCTAAACCAAGTATAAAATTTGAAGACGGCATATCTTTTACAACACCAGCACCTATTGTATCTGTGTCCACGTATAAACCACAAGGGTTTGGTCATGGTCAACAAACTGTACACAAAATCGAATCAGTTGGGTTTGAATATTCATCTCCGACGCCCATTACTGAGCAACCATTCAAGAAACTGGTAGCTTACACTACTGGTCCATCGGTCACCTATTCACAAGCATCTGATGCCAACTTACCACATTCATATAGCCATCAGACAATCCATAAAGTAGAATCAAACGCATATGCACCAGCAGTTGAATCGGATTATGACTTTTCGAAATCTGATATTAGATACGAATCACCCAAACCTGTTATTCAGTTAACAACTGTGCAGCCAGTTGTATCTTCTTATCAACAACCACAAGTATATAGTCATCAGACATTACATAAAGTAGATGCCAGTCAAGTGAAGACCTATTCTGAAAAAGAATCTGAACTAGGATATGAATATAAAAAACCAGCAATTAAATTTGAGGATGCAGTAAATACATATGGGTACTCTACACCAGTACCAATAGTCGTGTCAACAATTAACCCACAGTCATTAGAGCATCAAATAATTCAAAAAGTGGAAACACCACAAGTACAGTATCTACCAGTTCCGTCAACCACACCCCTGCCAGCTGTAGCATCCACATACCAACCCCAGGTATTCAGTCACCAAACAATACATAAAGTAGACGCTGGTCAAGTAAACGTTTATTCTAAAAATGATGGTTATGAATACCAGAAGCCAGAAGTAAAATTTGAAGAAGGAATAAAGACTGCATACGAATACTCTACTCCTGCACCAATTGTTTCAACGTATAAACCTCAATCATATAATCATCAGACAATTCCTAAAATTGATACTCCAAAGGTAGAAATTACATATCAACAGACACCTGTCACAGTATACGAAAATCCATTATTAAAATATACAGAAAAAGTAATTCCAGAAACTAATGTACATCATGCCTACAATACACAGGCTTATAGTCATCAGACAATTCATAAAATAGAGGATAGTAAGCTTTATACTCCTTCAATAAAAGTTGCCTATGAATCGAATGGAAACTACGAAGAACCAACTGTAAAATATACCACTGCTCAACCAGAACTAGCTATTCAACAAGTTGTATCCACTTATCAGCCTCAAGTACAGAGTCATCAAACTTTACATAATGTTGAAGCCAGTAAAGTAAATACTTACAGTGGATCTACCGGTTATAATTATGAAGCGCCTTCAGTTAAATTTGAAGATGGACCTAACATTATACATGAATATTCTACACCAGCATCTACATCAGCATCCACCTACAAACCACAGTCCTACAGCCATCAAACTATTCATAAAGTTGAAGCTCAGAAGTATATTCCAGTTTCGTCCACACCCAAAGTTGCAGTGACTTATCAACAACCTTCAGTCTCCGTTTATGAAAACCCAATCTTAACATACACCGAAAAAGTTACTCCAATTACATACGTAAAACCAACTGCTTCTGTTTATACTCAGACATATCAGCCAATAATTCACCAACACGAGGTTAGTCACGTCAGTCAGCCAGTAAAATATGAAAGTTCCGCACAACAGTCTTATACGAGCCAAAACATTCAATTAAACCAAGAAGGATATTCATACAGTCAACCTGAAATACAACGTAACGTTGAAACTTTAAATAAAGGACAATCATATTCAGACGCGAATTTGGTATCACACCAATTCATCCAACAATCGAATGATCAATACGAATCCGGAAAAGACATAGTAATTGTGTCATCGACTCCATCGACATTAGCATATGAAGAGCACTATTCTGAATATGAAACGCCACGGAAACAACAACTATACAAAGCCCCAGAGTACATACCACCAAAAACTGAATATCAACAATCCTACAGTGTGTCATCTACTTTGTCTCCCCTTGCAGAGCAACAGTCCTCTATCATACATGAAACTGACGACGAGAAATATTACAAGGCTGTAGATAATTCGCCACGCTATGAATCGATACACAACTCACCACTTCAACAGATTTCATATAGTACATCTCACATTTCACAACCGAAAAAAGAGTCTATTCATTTTTCGTCATTCCCCGGTACTACAATTACCACTAAATATAAACAAGTTGCTTATGAATCACCTGAAATTCAAGTTGGTTATAAAGCTGAAGAGTATTTGCCTCCAGTTGTTTCAACACCAATAGTAACTTCTACATACAAACCCAGCACTTTGAGTAGTGCTTCTACAACACGGGAATATTTGCCACCATCTGACATTAAATACAATGAACGTGAATATTTACCACCGAAAGTTGAAAATACTTATTTACCCCCAAAAACAGCCAAGCCCATTGTAATATCAACTACCCAGCGACCAACCTACAAATACACACAATCAACAACAGAATATTCAGCCCCTGAATATTTACCACCTGCGGACGAAAAGGGATCTGATATAGTGAATTTTGAAAACTTTGATTTTAATCAGCAAAATACAGAAGAAATTATTAAGAATAATCCTTATCAAGAACAATATTCTGTTTCGACTTTAACTCCTTTAAGAAAACCGAATTTAGTGGTGGAAAGAGCAAAATCTAACTTACTTGGCTTTGGTACTGTCGGACCTGATGCTGGTTTAATTTCCCCAGTAACTTACACTACAGCTGCACCTGTTGTTGTGTCTTCGACAAATACTCCTTACACATACATTGAGTCAACAACTCAATATAAAGCACCGGAATATTTACCTCCTAGTGACACAAGACCCGAGAAAATTCGGCCAGTTCCTGTGCATAGACAACAAAATATAGTAGTCGAAACTGCAAAGTCCCATTTATTAGGTTTTGGCACTGTAGGACCTGATGCTGGGCTCGTGTCTCCTGTAACATATACTACAGCACAACCGATTATATCTAGTACTGATTCTTATTCATTGCGGCCAAAAACAGTGACATCGACACTTGCACCATTCAATCAAGAAATATCTGAAGTTCCAATTAGAAAGACTAAGCCCAAGGTAGCTGTTGTAACCAAAATAAACGATTTTAATCCATTACTTGTACGAAAACTCGGTGCTGTTTGTAGTTGTCAATCACCTGTGCTTATACTGAAAGGAAAGAGGCCCAATGTACAAGTGCAACCGGATGTAATCGATTACAATAATGATTACGATGACTCTGATCGTGGAGATATTAGTGATAATCAATGGGGTCAACGATCTGGAAACTTACAATTATCAATTAATTCCGCTACACCTTCTCCAATTATTTCATCTACCATTAACCCTATAATAGTACCAGATGATTCGTATTACCAGGATTACCAAGAACCGAATAATTACGTTGCCGCAGTAACTCCTAAAATAAATGAGTTATATTCCGAAAACTTCGATTCCAGTACTCCTATTGTTGTTTCATCTACAGAAAAAACAGTGAGAATAAGACCTAGAGTAAAGGCTGTGACTATTGCGCCGACTTACAAAACTGTTTTGTTGAATCAAGAAGCGGCATCTAATGCTGAAGTTAAAGAGGCAGAATCCGCAGATAGTATCATTAATTCACAATCTTTCGATCGCTATGGGCCTGGTGGATGGAGAAGTAGAGACGAGACATTGCAAGGAACAGTCGACTGCCAAAGAGCAGGTTTGTTCAGGCATCCAAAACAATGTAACAAATTCTATGCTTGCAGATGGGATTGTACTAAGCAAAGATTTACGCTCCATGTATTTAACTGCCCAGTGCAGTTAACGTTCGATCCTAATATGGGCGCATGTAACTGGCCGAGTCAGGGACCAGCATGCCAAGGAGATACGCTATTGACCAATACTCTTTAATTGAATGGGACATAAAACATTTCTAATTTGCTAGTGCCATCTAAATTGTGATTAAAATAATAACAATGTTTTTACTCTATGTCATGGAAATCGTGAATTGTATGTCTCTCTTTGTATTACTATAAGCTTATTTATTTGACCATTTTGTTGATGTTATTTTAGTGTAATTTATTATTAAATATGTACTTACTCAGCTTGATGCTTGTTAAGTATGTACTTCGATTTTATTGATTGACCTTTAGTTACCATTGTCTAGATCATGTAAAATGTGACACATTGTATTATAGTGATATTTTGTATGATATTGGTTATATTAAATATAGAAATAATGCTCTTGAACTTGTAAATATATAATTTTTAAACAATATTCTCCGAATTTTAATCCTTACATAACAATATTAATAAGAATTAAAAATTATTTATTAAGTAATTAACAGCAATATAATTCACTTCAAATATTTAGGATTGCAGGCTTTTCTGCATCGGCCAAAATACTGCTATATTTAAAAATTATAGGATTTACTTCTTCTTCAATAAATTCTGATACTTGATCGGGAGCTCTTCCTATAAACGTAGACGCGTCCAATATACTATCCAGCTGTGAAATAATTGGGACAAAATAAGGATCGCTCTTCACGCGGTCGATCAAGTCGTTATCTTTGCCCTGTTGCTTTACTTGTGCTCCAGCTTCGTGAGACAGAACTCTTATTTTTTCATGGCATACTTGACGATCTCCTCCGTTTTGTACCATGGCCATAATTATATTTTCAGTGGCCATAAATGGTAATTCTTGTGCTATATGACGAGCAATAACTTTCGGGTAGACTACTAATCCTTGGCAAATATTTAACAATGTAAGAAGAGTTGCATCAGCTGTCAAGAATGCTTCGGCAAGAGTTAAGCGACGGTTCGCAGAATCGTCCAGAGTACGTTCAAGCCATTGTACTGCATGCGTGTTAGCAGCGTTCGCTTGTAGTGTTATCAGGTGTCGAGCTAACGCGCAACAACGTTCGGACCGCATAGGATTTCTCTTATAGGGCATTGCGCTAGATCCGATTTGTGTAGCTTCAAATGGTTCCTCAAGTTCTTTACGAGAAGCAAGTAAACGAATATCCGAACACATCTTATGCGCCGTTGCTCCTAAACCAGATAACGCAGAGACTACTTCCAAATCAACCTTTCTAGAGTAAGTTTGTCCTGTCACAAGGTAACGCTTATCGAAACCTGCCAATTTTGCTACCTTTTCGTCTAGTGCTCGGACTTTAGAAGCATCTCCTTTGAAAAGCTGTAAAAAGGAAGCTTGGGTTCCTGTGGTGCCTTTCACTCCTCGAAATCTGAGGTCATCTTTTGCTCGTGACAGCGCACGTTCATCCATGAGGAAATCACTCAACCATAGCGATGCTCGCTTGCCAACGGTTGTCAGTTGCGCGGGTTGAAAATGTGTAAAACCCAAAATCGGAAGCGATCTGAAAGGTAAATAAATTTATAGGAATTAATATATCATCTCACTTATTTCAATTATATCAGCAGCTTTTACGTTATTGGATATTAAACATTTTTTTACGTAACACAATAGGAAACAAGTTACCAGTTTTTAAAAATGGGCTTCAACGGCTATGAACACCACGAATAGAACAAGCCTATATGAAATATTATTGAACAAAAAAACTTTTATTCTACTACTATATGAATCATCTAAACTAATAGGTAATAATAAAAACAATAACTCTAAGTAATAGAAACATACGAAAATAATTTTAGTTGTAAGTAAGACATACTTATACTGTTCAGCAAATTTGGCGAGCTGATGAATCACAGCGGCTACTCTCGGCAGCAGCAATTCCAAGCCATGTTTCATTATGATGAGATCCGTGTTGTCTCCGACGTAACATGACGTGGCACCAAGGTGAATAATGGGGGCTGCTCGGGGACACCGTTCAGCTAAAGTGTGGACATGAGCCATCACATCGTGTCTAACACGCTTTTCATGTTCTGCCGCTTTAGCAAAGTCAATGTCATGGATAGCACCTTCAAGCTCGACAATCTGTTCGTTGGTGATATCGAGACCGAGTTCCTGAAAATAAAAGAGAACCGTTAATACTTATGATATTTGCTGTTTAGATTTGCGCTGAAAAAAAAAAGCAAATGTATCGCTAGAAACGCCGCATTAACCTGATGAGCTCAGACTTAGATATATCCCGACGAACACACAAACGTACACCTATGCTTATACATTTTCCCAACAAGATTTTATCCTGTTAATTGCATTTAGGTTAGTTGTATATTAATGTCATTATTATTCTAGGAATAAACTTTACTTTTTATTTTAAACCTAGCGTAGATATCATAATGACACGTTGAAATTATAATTACGAATTTGTATCAATTGAACCTTATTTAACATCCAACTAATATTATAAATGCTAAAACGTATTTGATAATGTTATTAAAATGCGCAAACAAGCTGACGGCCCACCTGATGGTGAGTGCTAACCGTGGCCTATATACGTAACAGCACGTCGTAACAGCATTACGACTTATCGTTTTAATGTGACGCCAGTGATATTATTGTGTTGCGATTCCAGAGGACCAAGATGTTACACCTCTTATCTTAGAAATTTCTGGACTTATTTCACCCTTAATCAAACACTACTTAGCTGTTTGGCAGAAATAGTTAGACAGAGGTAGTCAAACTTTTTAAAATTTCTACCTCAGCTATGTAGACGTAGTATTTAATTTGTTTCTTTACACTCTCACCTTAACGTCTTGGAAATCATGCAATTTGGCACATCAATAATATATGAGATGAAGTAGCGGTACAGTTGCAGACTGAAAAGTGAATGATTAATGTTCAAACGGACAAACAGATTTTCGCCTCGTCTCGATTTTTTTTATATATAGAGATAATAAATAACGTAAACTAAGAAACACTAATTGGAAAATTTCAGTGGAACTAACGAAAGAATTTTCTCAATTGACTAAACAATGGAAACAATACAATGGATTACTGAACTCAAGGGCATTTTGGGAAAATCGAAACGAATTGAAACTTTCCTAAAGATTACTAAACATCCTTGCAATAAAAACAAAGGTGCAGGGCTATTGCGATAACTTTTGTATACTTATTTATTTTAGTAAATTATTTAAATATGCCTCTTATTCTAATACTTATTGTCATTCTTTCTACATGCACTACTACCGTACACAGCAGGCATACAGCGCTTTGCGTGTTCAATACAATAACGTTTTCAAAATGTTGTTACGCTATGAAGAGCTGGTGTCTGAAATAGGTATAACCTGTAATACAGATCAGTATATATATAAGTTATATATAATAAATTATGATGTTTATACAACACTAAATAAACTATAATCATAAAATGTTTAGAGTTAATAATAGGTAAGGAATAAGATAAAAGTACATGATAGTGGAAGGAGAGAAATATTACGATATACCTTCTATATTATACCTTCTGAGGTATCACAAAGAGCATAATGTATAACCTTAACCTTGTGTATCACAATAACATAAATAAATAATAAAAATACTAATTATATTGAGAAGAGGGTTACCTCTGAGTCATTTCCACACAATAACAAAATAAAGGTGTAACACAGTTTGTTGTGCACTGACAAACACTAATGATCTAAAATAGTGATGTAGAAATAGTGAATCATGTACTATTAAATATATAAATGAAATCTATTTCATAATTGTATTCGGGTATTAATTTTATCCTCGGTTAAGTTTGCATTATTATGAGTTTAAAGAAAGTATGAAGTTTAACTTGATTGAAAGGCAAACAGTAGTATTGAAAATACTATTATGTATCTAAGAGTAGATAAGGAGAACCAATAGATGATATAAAATGAGTAAAAATTTAATAGTGATAAAGATTAGAGATATTCCTTATTTCATCAGAATTAATTTCATTTATTGTTGCACCAGTCCTTAAACAACCATTTAAAAGAAAGAATATAAGAAAGTCTATTAAAAATCCATACTAATATTTTAAGTGAAAAATCGTATCTATCTGTCTATTTGTTACAGGTTCAGGACAAACTGTTGAACGGATCTAAACAGACTAGTGGTCGTCCAGTAATTGAAATTCGAACATAATTAATTTGGTGCCACTGTTAGGCAAATTATAACATCTCGACTAGAGGCTCCTCTGGAGTTGTACAAAAGTGGAAATTAAAGAAATATAATAATATTAAAGTAAATTACTTTATTAAAAAGGCACGGACGAATATGTCTGTGGAAAATTGTATTTAATTAAAAAAAAAAACAAAATTTTTATAATCCAGTATGACTATAGAATAATAATATTAAAGATAAACAATATTAAACTATTGTCAATTTTGATCACAGATTTTAACAAAAACAATAGAGTATTTATTACAACATACGTTTGCAATGCATTTTTTTATTAATATAATGTATATTTTGCATAATTTAAAACAAAATAGTAGTATTCTACACTCCTTCTCTATAAACTAAACTTCATACTCTCCGCCCGCGCAATTTTCATTTTTTTTTATTAATATAATGTATATTTTGCATAATTTAAAACAAAATAGTAGTATTCTACACTCCTCTATAAACTAAACTTCATACTACTCCGCCCGCGCAATTTTCGTAGAAATGAGTAGAAAATTTTTGCTCCACGTATTAATATATAAATATCATGAGGACGTACAAAGGCTATATTTTATCTCAAAAAATAGCAAATCAAGTGGCGAGTAACCATTAGTATAGAACTGAGCAAAAAACTAGAGAAAGCAAACAATATTATTATCTGTAACCAATTGAACACACGCGCGGCGCGGTTCCACTGGTATTTAGCACGCAATTGTGGCCCGCTGTACTACTTTCAACATTTTTGTGAGGACCCAAAAAAGGGCTCCAGGAAACACGGTATCAAATTGAAACTAGTTGGTCGGTACCATAATGAAATTGTGATTTCATTTCCTCATCGGTAGTGGAAATTTTTATGTTTTCCAGTATAATAGATTAGTATTAATACCTTCACTTACATAGGTACATTGACATATCAGTTGGATCAGTCAGAGAGATTATCTGTCTACGTCGTAGTTAAACCCTTACTAAGTGAAAGAAAGAAAAATGTAATAGTTGAACTATTACATTTTTCTTTCTTTCACTTGTGTGCTCACATTCCACTGCTATTTGAATTCAATGTGATAGGCATGGAAGTGAAGTTTAAAATTAATATTACTATCAAAGGCTAAGGTCTATCAGAAACATAAATTGAGTTTTTGGCAAAATCTATGTGGTATATAAGTTTAATTTAATCTAAGATACTTGCTTAGATATTATTTATATATAGTTATATTTAGCGCAGTGCGCGTGAGCAGTCGCCGCACTTCATGGCTAAAGAATTTAAGGCAGTAGTTCGAGATTAACACTAGATCTTTGTTCAGAACAGCGGTGGACAAAATTAAGATCGCCAGGATGACCGCCAACCTCTAGTAGGAGATGGCCCATAAAGAAGAAGATACCATTCAAATTCAATATCATTTATCCACATAGAACCTTTCGGTCTCTTCTATGCATACGGCTAGCTACTTCAGTTGACTGGCAAGAAACTCAACTGCATTTTTTATGTTATTATTTTTGTTTCTTTACGTACTTTTAGGTCTTTTCTCTGATATAAAAGTTTATCAATCAGGCAACGAAATGAGCAGAACGATGTCAAGGAATAAAAGAAATATACAAGTATAAGTCAGCAATGGTTTGCAATTGTTGATAAAAATTGAAATCTTTGCCGTTAATATTGTGATGATAAAGACGCGAATTTACACACATTACTCCTACTAATGACGTAATTTAGGTATATTAATCTTAAATATAAGCTTTTCAGTTCCATTATTAGCGTTGTTAATAATGAAAAACTTAATCACAAAACGTATACTGTTAATTATATCATTCTTCTTCGAATTCGTATATGATTAGTAGCTGAACCATTTTCAACCTGTAGCAAAATCCTGCTATCACAAACTGTTATCTGTATAAAGAAGATAACATAGTCAGTATGAGTAATCTTATCGGAAAAATAAAACTAGTTACAACTTATCCATGAACACAAAAAGGTGTCAGAGTGACGGTAAACGGTAAATAAGTGAATAGTGAACATAAAAACAAAGAAACATGGTTTCCCTTCAGACAGTCGCCACTATAGTCGTGAAAGCGTTCAAAATTGTAAGTACATGTTTTTTTTGATTCGACGGTGGTGAATTGATTATAGATTACTTCGAAAATGTGGCAAGGTTATGAAAAAAATGTAGAATATTACCAAAAAAATAAAAATGTACTATCATTTTTCTTGTATATGTAAAAATTATAGAGAAAGAAGAATAGATTGTTTTGACAAATACAATACAAAACGAAATAAATAATAATAATAATATTTCAAGACAACTCATACAGCGCCACCTAGTTCCAAAGTAAGCTGTGCTTGTGTTATAGATACTAAACAATGGAATTACTTAAATAATATAAATAAAAAATACTAGATCTAAACAAATTATTATATTCAATTATACATATGTTTGAAATTATCAAAGATTCCAAACACTAGTTTGGAATCGAATCTGCGCCCATTGGAAGTGAGGCGATATGCTAAACCGCTAGATCTGCTTAATATTTTATATCATTGACAATTCGTCAAGGATTATATTTATTATTACCTATATTCGGATAGATAATAAAATAATGATAGATAACTAAATAGCCTTTCAACAACTAAATAAAATAAAAAAATGTTTAAAGATATTAATATCAATTCAATCTCCTTCTGGTACGAATTATGTCACATTTCTCAAATAACAACCAACGTACATTTTATAGACGAATTGATAATAACAGAATTTGTTTACTAAATCCCAATGAAATCACTCCACCTGGATCCTAATATGCTAATCCTAAGTGGTTTCGGACAATGCGGTTTCAGAGGAGCTACCTAACGCGTACACTTTAGATTGTGGATTAAACCTATCTGCCGAGATTTTCTAGAGAGACTACAGCCTGGGGTTCTTCAAGTATAAGTATATTAA